GTGCGCCCTCCCCGGCGGCTCAGCTGCCATGTTGACCCAGTTCTGCTGGGCCGCCAGGGCATGGCTGTTGCTGTTGAAGTAGTTGATGACGGCTGGCGTGGGCGTGGGGATGGGGGTCGGGATGGTGACGGGAGTGGAGATGGGCGTGGGAGTCACAGCACGGTGCCTCTCCTCAGGAACTGCTGGAGCAACAGGGTAGCTGGGCATGGAGGCCATGTTGGAGGGGGGCCGTGGTCTTGGAGCAGCTGCAGCATGGTACGGTGCCATGGTCACCGGGGCCAGCAGCGGTGTGACAGCACGGGTGTCAGGCAGAACAGGGGGGGGTGCGGCAGTCGTTACCACCACGGGTGGGGCTGGTGGGACAGGTTTGGACTCCCCTGTTACCATGACTGGTGTCATTGTTGCGACAGGCATCTCAAGGCTGTACCGGCTTGTCATGCCCTGCTTAAGCTTCTTCCACCCCAAGTGATATATCTCAAGCATGTTCAGCAGCAGGGAGACAGAGGCCACCACCAACATGAAGATGATGAAGATGGTCTTCTCAGTGGGCCTTGAGATGAAGCAGTCCACAGTGTGTGGGCAAGGTGAGCGGCTGCACTGGTAGACTGGCTTTAGCTCAAAGCCATATAGGAAGTACTGGCCCACAATGAAGCCCACCTCAAACAGTGTCTTGAAAATGATGTTGAAGACATAGGTACGGAGCAGGGCACCCCCCATACGGATTCTACCACGTTCATCACGGATCGGGAGCTTCTCCTTCCCCTTTTTGCCAAGAGGATCCTTGATGTTATTGCTGCCTCCTCCACCACCACCACCAGATGCTGCTGCTCCTGGGTAGTTGCTGTCTTTGACGTTTCCCTTCTTTTTCAGCTCTTCTTTCTCTTTCCTCTTCTCCTCCATGCGTACAATGTGCAGCACATGGCCCAAGTAGATGAGGGTTGGAGTGGACACAAAAATGATCTGCAGCACCCAGAAGCGGATGTGAGAAATGGGGAAGGCTTTGTCATAGCAAACATTTTCACAACCAGGTTGCTGAGTGTTGCATGTAAAGTCTGACTGCTCGTCTCCCCAGACCTCCTCAGCAGCGGCCCCCAGCACCAGTATCCTGAAGATAAACAGTACCGTCAGCCAAACCTTTCCAATAACCGTGGAGTGCTCCTGCGCATTCTCTAACAGTCTCCCCAGAAAGCTCCAGTCACCCATTGTTTCAGATTTCTAACCTACAATAAGAACATTAGAGCAATTAGAGCAATGTTAAAAAATCTTGTAACTACACAATGCCAGGGCAGAACAGATTGATCCTCAAAAAATGACATTTCTTAAGTGCACTTCCTTTTGCAAAATATTGCACACCTATGGGAAGAACTACATAACCCTGTGACCATGCAGCCATGGGTTTTCGTGAGCACAGAAGTGGGATGTTTAGTGCTTTCACCTAGCCGACACATGTTTAAGTGTCCATACACAATGACAGGCAAGAAAGATTCATAACCATAATTTCTACAAGATTTAAATATTTTACAAGCACAATTTCTCTGTTTGCTCCACCTGAGATGCCTTGCCTATTTTTAGAAAAGAACAGATGGAAATCAGTCCAATTAAACAGAATATTGCTACTATTAATTTGACTGCACTTGCATCAGAGTGTGATATGAAGTTTGCTTAACTAATCATTTTATTGTTATCAGGACTTACTCCAGCATTCAGGAGGTTAGTAATGTCCCAGCTCTCTGCTATTTTCATACTGTATAAACACAGAAAAATAATTACTCAAAACCTATGGAATTTACAGTTTAATTTTGTAATATGTACACCAACAACAAGCATGTTTAAGTTTGTTTATTTCTAAAAAGAGAGAATTACTTGAATAACTTGAAATATTGGGAAGAATTAGAAATTCTGAGAGGAATGGTGGAAAGGTTTCTATGCCATTTCCCCTACTGTCCTGTCAGTTGGTGTTACTGAACCACATGTACTGCAACGTTATTTAAAAAAAAATAAAAAACAAACCAAAACAAAACACAAAACCAAAAAACCTTTGAGGACACTCCAGCAACTGTGCACAGAGATTTTCTTGGAAAAACAAAATTATATCCTATGACCTTACTTCTATGATAAACAACTGGTATATGTTCTCAGTAGTTTCCACCGATTCATGTCTGATGGGCTTCCCATGTCCAGTTCTAGGCAGTGACGTAACTTCTGATTTGGAAAGGCTTAAAGTACAAGATTTTTTTTTAAGATCAGGTTCCTCACAAGCTGCCTTCAATTGAGAAACAAGCTATTATTTGCTGGTATCACTTCTGTTATCCTTGGCCTGTTCCTAATTGGAATATATGTAGGAATATTGGAATATATGTAAGAAGTACATTTCATTCTCCTAATGAACACACTTCTGTATTTGACATGTCAATCTTCGAGTGAAAACAAAATACAAAACTTTACTTTCAGAAATACTTAGATAATAATTATAATTCAGGTATACCAATTTGCATGCAAAAAAAACCACTATCAGAAAAGACTGATTATCCTCCTGTTTAAAAATCTCAGAATAGTTTATAAATATAACTGAATTACTCTTTACTCTTTTTATTTTTATACTTATACTTCTTGTCCAAATACCCGTGTGTCTTACAATTCCCAAGAAGAAAAGACGTTCATCATTACAGGTAGGAGTTTACCACTGAGAAAATGTACTGTTCTCGATATTATATTTACTGTGATTTCCAACAATGATGTCACTGTTTTTCCAGAGGAAGCATTTCCAAAGTTTGTTCTGAACTTCTTTCAGCTTTTAGTTAAGCTAACTAAAGAAATTAAAGTTATTTCAGTTACTTTTTTTATAACTTGATTTTACTATGAGGCAATGAAATACCTGTAACTACAGAATAGTATACTTTCACACAAAAAGCAGTAACACACCCATTAGTATTTTGCATTTTCATAAATCCTGGAATACTAATTCACTTTTTATCTCCACAAAGTTAATTCAACAAAAACTCCCCCTAAAAAAATTAGATCTTTGATATTCTACAAAAACACATTCCCTTTAATATAACTGAATTATTTTTCCAGCATAGCATGATTAACTGCAAATGGCGATATTAACAATGAAATACTGATTTTGTGTAGTAATGTCCCTGCTCCTAAAACAATTTAAAGCAATTTTTTAAAATATATTCAGATTTTTAAGGAGTGTATTTTCCCTCCTCTTAAAATAGTAACCCAAAAGTGAATAAATTCCATTAGAATACTTTATTTTTGTAATCCTAATTTAATATGTTCATATTATTTTAAAATTTAATCCGCAATCTTAACTTTATGAGGTTTACAATATTTTGGATGGATGGTGAAGTAATTTTAACCTTGAGAAGTATTAATTTTTCAGGGAATAACGAATTAATTTTGTATCTCTCTTACTCAAAACCATTTGCAGGTATACTCCATCTTTGGACAGAACTAAGCTGTTGTTTGGGAATGTTCTCCTTTTGAGTAGTAAAGGTTGTTATGTAGGAACAGCAAAATGAGTAATGTGGTATTTGATGGATAGAGAAGTTCAACATAACTCTAAATCCAGTATTTAACTTCTCTGCTATACTTTGCATTATTCTGTGCCTCTCAATTCAGTTCTCTCTGCCTCACTCTTTGTTTTCTATCCAGATCAAGCAAAACAGGCAGCTCAGATAATAAGTAGTCAAAGTTACGGTTTATTCCTTTGTTATTAATATTTGTAATAGAAAGTGTATCAATCAGCAAAAGTTAGCACATTAAATCTTCTTTAATTCATTAATTATGGTCCATTTTCAGCATGGCTGCCATTACCCTTGCTTCCAATGGCACAGAGGCCACACACTGTCTCATAAAGACAGATATTACCTTCTATTGTTTCCAAAAATGAAGTTGATCTGTCCTCATCAAAAATTATAACCCCTGCACTGTAAGGTGAACAGAGGTAGCAATCTTTTTTTTTTCCTCTGTAGGCACGCTGTAGTGTATCTCTTACTGAGATCAACAGGTGATGTTGACTACAATGAAAGTAGGATCCTTTGTGCTTTTCTGAAGAATTATCTACTGATTAGTGGAAGAAGAAAAATAACAATTTGTAAAAAGTAAAGGAAAGATGACAAATAATAGCATCTAATTTATTCTCAGTCATTCTCCATTCGCTAACACTACTCAAGATTTTTTTTCTTTTTACTACAAGCCAGCAATGCCCAGGCTGAGATAATTCAGGACACCAAAGACATGACACGATGCATTTCTCCAAGGAAACACTTAAAAAGCTATTCTAATGCTTACATTAATTAAAAGATTTATTCCTGTATATCAGAGGCTGAAAATTCATTTAATCTGAAAAAGTGTTCAAGCAGTGAGCAGATATTTCACAGCATCTTAACTGTATAGAGGTGAAAATCTCAGTGTCCATCTAGGGATGAATTGCAGCTATCACTGCTTTTCCTACAGATGTGTATTACCCGTAATACATAAATACGGGAAGGACATCGTCTCCAAGGACAATGCAAAGATACATATCTCTACTGGCTGGAGGCTTCTCAGAAATCCAGGTCCTGTATCTTTCTTCAATGTCAATACATTCTTCAGTGAGTAATTCTTACAGCCAATGTAACTCATACAAAAACCACATCAACAATTTTAAAGGGGTGCCCTGATACAAATAATGATTAAATGACATCAAACAAAACCAGAGGGCTCACAGAGCTCACAGACTATGTGAGTTGTCATCATCAAGTTCAACAATAACATACCTAAATCTAAATTTGAAAGGCCATAACTCAGTATGTTAGCTGAGAACAACTCCAAGCTTGCTTTTGTAGTATTACATAAACTTCAGCTGTACAGTACTACTTTCAGTGCTGCTGAACTACAGAGCTAGGCAATTGTTAAGCCCTAATCTTACATATGGATTGTGAAGGGAGACATTTTTTCTTTCTGTGCTTGGAAAAAATGCAGATTAAGACATGAAATATCTTTATCTGTATTTCATGACATTCATGCAGAAATACCCACTAGGGAATGACAGAGAATCTGTCTCAGAAAGCAATCCAAACAGCAAGGACTTCACGAACCTTGGGATCATTTAATAAAAACTGGGAGTCGTATATTGTTTGTGTCACTTAGAAAATCATTCCTCCCTCTGAGACAAATATTGAAAAATGGGCAGTTCATAAAAACCGGCATGGCATTCTGTTTAAGAATCAATGCTGTGCCACTAATTACTAAGTTTCGTACATGCACAAATACACTTTGTGGATGGGGTGTGTGTGTGACAAAGAGAACGAGCAAGAGAGAAAATAAATTTTAAAAGCTGTGATGTCATATATATCCCTCTACAGGAGAGATATAATTATCATCTGGCATCTATAAACTTGCCAGTTATTATTTCTATTTCTATTTCTGATGATGTCACCGAAGAGGTTCATCACTATGTATCAAGTGTGTGAAATATGGTATTTTAATTATTTATAACTTTCATAGAATCACAGAATCATAGAATATTTTTATTTATAATTTTACTCATACATGTATATGTTTATGTATTTATATACACATATGCACACATACACACACACAAATAACTACACAGCTATGTTACATACATTACCAGATTATGACACCTGGTATATTTATGATTTTATTATACTATATCTAAAAAATGTCCCTTAGCAATTATTTAGAAACCTAACATGTCCTTGTCTGAATATGATTCCTAAATTCAGTCCACATTTTCTTCCATTTCTTGTGACAGTCTAAAACCTTGGGATTTAGGTAATTATCTTCAAAATTATCTAGATTTTACAAACCAGCATGAGAAAAAAATGCTGTTAATAGAGAAAAACACTTGCAATGTTTCCTTTGTTTTTACACTAAACAATCAGGCGTCTCCATTACTACCAGTTTTTTAACTCTGCTAATTTAAATCCAATAAAAGTAGTCACCCTGCACAAAGTCTGCAGCATGACCATGTCATTCCAGACAAACTGGCAGATGTGGAGAGACAGAATGAACTACTGTAATTTCCAGTGAAACTTAATGGTATTTGGTCATGTACATATATATGAAACACAATGGTTGAGGTTTCATAAATTTGCTTTATAAACTTGTTTAAATAAGGACTTCAAAAATACCTTTGCTCTTGCTCACAGTGTCATACTTTCAGACACATCTACTATCACTTTCATTGT